GGTTTGTTTCGCAAACAAATGTCCCTGGAAGAGCATAAATAATGTCATGGCAACATTGATCTTAAGTATTGTTTTACTTTGTTGTTGCTTGGAACATTTGGCCAGTCAAACACAATCATAGTTCCCGTGTTGTTGCAGCTCTGTATTCATCGTGATTGTATTTCTCTGTAGATGATATGAACTGGAATGCGTTGGAGTGGGACCGGGCGGCGGAGGAGCTCACCTGGGAGAGGGTAACTCATAATACTCAATTTACAACTTTAGTTTTTGTGTTCTACATCTATGACCCTAAATATCTCTCTGCTCCCCTCTTAGATGCTTGGCCTGGATGGCTCACTGGTGTTTCTGGTGAGGGTCACATTCCTAACAGTCAGTGTGTTTTATACACGTTTGTATGATGAGTGTATAAAGTCGTCATTTCTCTTGTAGGAGCATGTTTTTTGGGTGGTTTCTCTGAACACACTCTTCATCCTGGTCTTCGGTGAGTAGACTGACACAAAGATTTATCATACACTTATTATCATTAACTCAACGAATAATATGAATACATCACAAAGTGCCAGATATATGTATAAACTGTCATCAATGAGTAAAACAACTCAAATTAATTACTGTACGATTATGTTACTTATCCTTTTTGACATACTACTGTCTCTATATATAGGAATAGTGCAGGTTGATTGCTTTTGTCTTTCCTATTTTAAATGCCACAATTTAAAAGATGTTTTGAGGGCGACTGTGGCTGCGAGGGAGTGCAGTCGTCTTTCAACCAGAAGGTTGTGGGTTCGATCCCAGCCCATGCAGTCAACATGTTGATTTATCCTTAAGATACTTCCGTGAGTTGCTCCCGATGGCCAACGGTGTGTGAATGTTAGGCCCTAGAGTAAGGTGCACTGCTCTGTATGAATGGGTGAATGACATGTAGTATGTAAAGCGCTTTGAGGGGTCTTAAAGACTGGATAAAGCTCTATATAAGTACAGTCCATTTACCATTTTCTTATTCCCCTCATTCAGCGTTTTGTCCTTACCACATCGGGCACTTTTCTGTCGTGGGTCTCGGCTTCGAGGAACATGTAAGAAACTGCTCTCATCAACTTATCACTATCTTATCACTATCATACGGAGCCCCTAAAGGGACATGAAAAAAAAAAAGAAAAAAACAGAGAGAGAAAAAAAAAAGTCAGGATAACGGGTTAGTATCTCGTGCGCACAAGATACTTTCTCGTGCACAAGATTTTTTTGGGGACAAAGTCACCGGTGCGCCAAGGAGGAAGTCAAGCGCACAGGACACAACCATTTCATTGCAGACTGTTATGTTTACGTGGGGAAATGACAGTGCATTATTTGAGATATATTTCGTACTCAGACTTCACTTTAAGGACATTTCGGCCAGGGGTGTGTGGTCACTCCAGGAGGCAGCGGGACGTGTAACTCAGAGAAGAGCAGCACCAGCGCTCAAAGA